ACATCCATTCAATCAATACTTACGCGCATTGAGTCCACAATCGATGGCATATTGTGTCCCCTCTTAGACATCATATCTGAGCCCAAGAACTGGTGGTCTCGAAGACAACCGGAATCGATGTCTCAATGAATCAAATCATTAGTAATTAAACACTGAATTGAATGTAAGAAACGATTAATGAATAGCGAAATGAAATGCATTTGTTTTGTATTGAAAGCACTGTTTGTTTACAAATCGACTCTCAATTCACCGCTTGTTTTGCATTCAATATATTGAGCGCTAGTTTTGAATGCAATCTGTTATACAACTAAAGAATAATGCATTCAATTGTTGTATAATTTGTAATAATTGTTTCAAATTTACGCACAAATCAATTGAAAGCACTGTTTGTATAGATTTTACAACAAAATAACCGTTAAATTGAGAAAATATTTCATACCATTAATTTAAGATTTGAATCAATTTAATCGTCCATTTATTTCAATATAAACACAACTTTGAAACTATTTAAACTGTTCGCATTATTTTCGTAGTGTTATGCAATACTGACTGTAATCGATAAACAGCACTACTGAACAGTGGTGTGAGTAGCCAGACATATGAGAGATAAGCACATTCAATGCACTGTCAATGCTTATAGTTATAGTTATATAACACTATGAAAATCCTGCGAAGTCTATATTCATCGATTGTGTTCTCAAAGCTTTTCTCTTCATTAAAACGATGGCCCAAATGGACGACAAGAGCTCTTTCGGTGTTTTGCATGACTTGGCGTTTGAATATTTATTATCTTTTCTCTCAATTGAAGAGCGATTCCGATATGAAATTGTTTGCAAACGATGGCAACGATTGATATTCAATACACAAAAACATCTCAATATTGAATCCCAATTAAAGGCAAACATTGAAAATAAGCCAAAGATATTAGAATTAATACTACAAAAGTGTCCAAACATTTCAAACATTGATTATTCGAGTTATTTTGAGAATAAATGTGTGTTAATTGAGTTAATAATCAAAGAAAATAAATATTTGACTGATATTTGCATTAATTTTGACGGCATTAATGAAGAAACGATTGATAATTTTTTTGCAAAGTTTGCCAAACAATTGAAAACAATTCGACTTCCGTTTGGTTTTATGATTACAAACCATTTCATCTCTAAATGGCTTTTAATTTGTTTGAATTTGAAGTCAATTTATTGCAATTTTAAATGTCATATATTGTCACCACTTCTAACCGCTGGACAACACATGTATTTCAAAGAACTCAAAAGTATTCAATACTTTAAAATGTCGGCGAACAACGATTTCGATGCATTTGACTCTTTTGTCAATTACTATAAACACAATATAAAGTCAATTGGACTTTATTTGCCGAGACATAAAGTCAATGACATGATTAATAGACTGACATATGGTTTAACTCAAATGAAAGCATTAATTGATCTTAAATTAAGGTTTAATAGTTATGATATGGACTCTATATCTAAATTTACACTATTGTCACAAATTGGTCCCAAATGTGAACAAATCAAAAGTCTCACCCTTTCTCACATAAATTTTGATGAACAAATATTTAATGCAATTAACGAGTCGTTTACACATTTAAATCGTTTGAAAATAAGTGGGATTTTGCAGCCAAGTGTGCGAATACCAGGCAATCCATTGAATCAATTGAATCGCTTAACGCATTTGGATTTGAGTGTTGGAGTTGATATTTTCGACCCATTCTTCGCCGACATATCAACGAAATATCCATTCCTTCAATACTTAGCTTTAAATCGTGTGAATATAACACACATAGCGGTGGAAGAGATGTTGAAATTGACAGATATTCGGGCCATTCGTCTCATTGGTTCCGTCACTTCTAAATATGTGTGCATTAAGTGCTGTCTCCGTGTATTTCCAAATATATCCGTTGATAATTGTTAACACTTTATAAAATATTTTTTGTTTTTTTGTACTTTTATAATCTTTTTATAAAATCAATTAGAATTGTTTAATAAATGTTTGAAATAAAATGATATGTTATTAGAAGAAAACATTTGTTCATAAAAGTTATTATCAAATGGTTTGGCTCTTAATCTTATTTAGAATGGATTTGTTTCCAACACTAAACGAAAGACAGGTTTCTATTTCAACGAACAGGCATTGGATTATATATTCAATGACACCTTTGATCTCATCCTTTAAAAGTTCAATTGAAAAGTATTTTTATTGAAAATAATGATTAAAATTGAAGGAAATGGGAAATCCTATCAATTTATTGAATGTTTTTATTATTAAATTATTATTTTAACAAATATTACCGAAACTTTTCAGGAATTGATTTGATATTATTTAAAATTATAATTATGAGTACAATTACTTCATTAATTAATTTAAACAACAAAATATAATGTTAAACACAACAATCTTGGTTGAGGTTTGATTTGCTTTTATTTTAAGTAATATTTCAAAATTTCTGATGTCTTGTAATTATGAATAGAGTGAACACATTCTCATTCCAAAGGGTGCGGCGATTATAGCGTCAATTTGTTCACTTCTGGTCATTATTGTGGGTATAATTGGAAATAGTTTAACAATTTTGGCGTTAGTTAAGGGTTTCACTCATCAGTATTTTCTTCACGTCTTCGCACAAACTTTTTAGCATTTGTTCCAATCTTTGAGGATCTGATTCCATGAGACCTTTCGGTTTATCTACTGTTCCTTTGGCTCCACTTTTGCTAAACCTAATGATCTCTTGGATGAAGACATTGGCCACTGATTTGGGATCCATTGCTTTCTTCTCCTTCTCTTCCAAAGACTTGTCTTCAACTGAAACACAATTAGGGAATGAAAACAAATCTACAAATTATTCATTCATTCCTTCACTGAGTCTTACATTCATTGAATTTAAGGCCCGAAGAAGTGATTCCATCGGTCGATAACTCATAGAAAATGGGATTCACTTTGTGTTCAACTCTCGGGATGTCTTTGGCGGCAGAAGTGGTGACCATTTCTGTGACGATGTCTTTGAAGAGTGAGTCGTAAGCGTTTTCGGGATCTGTTTTCAACGCCGAGAAGACATTGTTTGGCGAACGACACAAACTGTTGAACACATTTGAAACCACTTTAGTATTGAATTTCTCAAAAGTGATGCCATTTTGCGAATCACTCATCAATTTTCGGGATCTGTTTTCAACGCCGAGAAGACATTGTTTGGCGAACGACACAAACTGTTGAACACATTTGAAACCACTTTAGTATTGAATTTCTCAAAAGTGATGCCATTTTGCGAATCACTCATCAATTCATTCAATTTCTTCTCCATTTCAGTGTCTTTTGTGTTCACTTTTGTCAACATTTTTCTCACAGAAGAAGTCTTCAAGAGTTTGTCTTTTTTGTCGCAGAAGTTGTTGAATACAAAGCGATTTCTTGAGACCAATGGCTTGAGATCTGTGAGCGGTTCCATTGCTGCCAATCCGACCACCAGTTCGTCGAACCCAACGAATCCACTGTTCGTTGTGTTGAAAGCCTTAAAGAGGTTTTCCTTCTCTTCTTTGTCCCAATTTATGCCCAAAAGTGACAAAAACTCGAACAATGATTTTCCGGACATTCCTATACTCGGGAAGCAATGCGTGTAAAACAGTGTCTGAAGGATTTGGATCTGTTCTCCAGTGATGTTCACTTCAGACACCAACTGATTGTCTTCCTTAGAGAACGGAGTCTTCACTGAATATCTGTCGCTCTTTTCGTGCAAATAATACCCGCAATAGTAGTCCTCTTCCAACTCCAAGTCTTCGCTCTTCTCTGCGATCTGTTTGTGGTGTTTGACCGCCAATTGAAACACTCGAAGCACTTCTGGACCCCAAAGACAACCATTGACTCCTTTGCCTAATTCTGTCTTTATTTCCTTCTCAGACATCCATTGAATTCTGTCGCTCTTTGGGCAACACTTGACCGACTCATCGATGATAATCAGTTGAACCACTCTTTCAACGGCCGGTCCTTCGGATCTGATCTGTATTTCAGTGCTTCCAAGCGATGGACTGTTGTCTGCATTTGAATCCACTTTTGCGTTGAAAATCACTTGAATTCCTCTTTCAATCAAATCCACGAAATCTTGAGATTCGTTGAGATTTCCAGAAACGAAAGGCAGCCAAAGGAAGTGTTTGTTCTTCGCTTCTGTCGTACAACTGATCGCAATCTTCTTGTGTTTCGGACAGAAGAGGGCCAACACTACCGCCAACTCTTGGTCTTCGGGATTCACTGATGGAAACGATAACACATTCTGTGGTTTGAGTCGAGACTTCATTCCTCTGGATATGAAAGATATCTTTTTTGAGTCTTAAAAGTCTGCAAAGAATCCAAAAATCAGTGCAAAAAACTGTTGAATAACTCATAAACTGTTTGAATGAATGAATGATTGAATTTAAATTCAAAATTAATTAATTGTTAAAAACTCGAGAAATATTTTGTTTTAATAGTTTTGAACACCTATTGTATGATTAAATGCAAACAATTAGTTAACGTCTAATCCAATGGCAAAACTTTTATTAAAACTTAACAATAGATTGCATTCAAAACTAGCGCTCAATATATTGAATGCAAAACAAGCGGTGAATTGAGAGTCGGTTTGTAAACAAACACTGCTTTCAATACAAATCAAATGCATTTCATTTCGCTATTCATTAATCATTGCTTTCATTGAATTCAGTGTTTAATTACAAATGATTTGATTCATTGAGACATCGATTCCGGTTGTCTTCGAGACCACCAGTTCTTGGGCTCAGATATGATGTCTAAGAGGGGACACAATATGCCATCGATTGTGGACTCAATGCGCGTAAGTATTGATTGAATGGATGTTTTCAAACACTTCTTCATATCCTCGACGGCCAGTAATTGATTGAATGTTTTGTTTTGTTGATGTCTTCGCCGGTCGGACAGACTTCGGGAGCGTTGAGACCAAGCGATCGGTCGGCCATCTGTTCGGCTCTCAAACGGGAATACGTTTTAATGGATTTATTGCCAAACGAGTCGTTTATGAGTCATATATTCATCGGTTTCACCCAAAATGGTCAGCACTTCCTGAGCTATTCCAAGTCGGATGAGTCCAATCAGATTCAGTTGCATATATTCCGGTTCAACGGCGGCCGACCTCTGGATCTGGTGGCGAGTCATGTCATATATACCGGCAATTGGTTTCATTCGACTGAATTCGCCGATTCCCGGCTCTTCGAAGGCGTCTATTGCTATCAATGGTCTTCGGATGACAATTATCTTCTGACAGTCGTTGCGCCACAATATCCCAACTCTAAGCTCATTGACGTCACACTTATCCGCATCGATAGGTTTGGCTCATATGTGGTGAGTCCGGGCTCTCAGACCTTCAACTGCAACGGTTTCGGACGTATTCCCGACTTTTGCGACGACAAATCACTCAACGAGTCCACTATTGAGGAACTCTTGTACCCAAAGATAATATTAAGTCAGCCGAAGATCTGTGCGCTGATCACCGACAGTGAGATTGTGTTTTTTGAGATCAAAGAGCAGTCCAACTATCGGACAGGTCTTCTGGACGCTCGCTTTGAGTGCAAACTCCTTGACGTCGAGTCCCATATATTCGGTGATGTCTTCAGCAAACACTTGACAAATCTGTTCAGTTATGTCTCGGAATACGAGCTCTTAGTCTATGATATAAAGTTAGATCCAATAGAAGTTCATTCATTACTTGAGGTAATGTTTGTGAGAAATGGGAAAAAACTGTTGCATTCGTTTGTCATTGAATGGCAGCCGAAGACAATGCAGTGGGATCTAAGTTTATTCTCGCAGAACAACGAACAAGAAGTGCATAAATCCTATTATTCACAATTGGTTGATATGATTAGATCTAATCGTCTCAACACTTACTACTCGATCAACAACTTGTCTTTGATTGGGATCTAAGTTTATTCTCGCAGAACAACGAACAAGAAGTGCATAAATCCTATTATTCACAATTGGTTGATATGATTAGATCTAATCGTCTCAACACTTACTACTCGATCAACAACTTGTCTTTGACTGAAACCCACAAGTCTTTGACACGACTTCACTCACCCGCCGATGCCTTCACTATAAGTCTTAACTAAATTAATGTCTGATATTAAAGAAACTTTCCAATTGTTTTGTATTACCTTTTATTAGTTTTTCTCGTTTTTAACTATTTTTCTCTCACTTTCTTTTTTGTCAAAACAATGTTTTACAGATTTTATTGATTCCTATGAATACATAATTTAATTCATTGTTTAGTTTATGTTTTGTAATAGCATTTCATATTTATTATTGCATTTCAATCGCGAATGCAATTCTCATCACAACTAACAAGTATTTGTAAGTATTTGTTAATTATTAAAATCAAGATTTTATTTCCTATTTATTATTGAGAAATGAATAGATAATTATTTTTTACAAGAATCACATTCACAACACCTCTTCCCTGTTTGCACTTTCTGTTGATTTTGTTTTCAATCCATTTGAACGCTAAATGAATATAATTTAAAGTAAAAACAATAAAATAAGATATATTTTCACATCCGATGCGTGTATTATATAATGTAATACAATGTCTATAAATAACTGCCAAACGAAATAAGTTTAGCATAAAATATAGACAACTTTTTCCGCAATCAATAACTTTATTCACATTAAAAAACTTTTTTCATTACTTTTTTGAGTTAAAAAAATAACTGTTGTGTTGATTGAGAAAAAAGGCGTAAAACTCTAACTCAATAATAACGTCAACACAACTCTTGTCCCCGAAATGTGTGCACCGATTGTGTGGACACAACCACACAATGGCATCCCTTATGTAATGTATGTATTATTGTAGACGTTATTGAAGAATGTGATGGAAAATGCCTTTTAAAAGTCACTACCATTTCAGTCGACAATTTGGGTGACAATTAAAAG